CTTTCTAAGTCTCTTCTCTAGTAGCAGTTAAGAGGAATATTTTAGAACATGAAAGGCCTGTTTTGCATGATGCCTGCTGGTGACTTCCCAGTGCACTTGAATACAATCCCCTTCCTTACCATGGCTCACATACTGCCTCTGCACAAAGACCTGCTTGTTGAAAAATTGATGGATTAGTTCTGTGTTTGATGCCTTGAGAGAAACTGAGGAAATGATACTTGATCCAGCTTTTGGTAGAGAGCAGGGTTGTGTTAGCTGAAGTAATGGACTGAACAGATGCAGAAAGTATGCCTGCTGTGTGCAGTAGCTGCAGGCACAGGACACAGGCACATAGAATGAAATACTGCCTGGGCCTTGGCAGATCAATTGTAGATTGACTCAGGAAGGTTTACTGACTGGCTTCCGATTTGGATCTCTAAGTTTTTATTCCTGGATCTTCTGGGTGTGGACACTCTGCTCTAAGATGCTTAGCATCATAGCAACACATTGACTGCCACTGAGTGTCCGCTGGTGGCTGCCCATGAATTGGCTGGAAATGAAATCATCTCTCCTCGCGGAAGAAGGGAATCGCCACACCATCCCACTATCTTCTTCGTGCCTTTCCGCAAAAAGCGATGACTAATGTATGATGTCTGAGGATGGAAGTTGCTAAAGACTTGATTTTATGGCAACAGCAACAAATAGCACATGCAAGAATAGTCAGGCCGTCTCCCAGGAAACTTCCTGCTGAGTCAGAGCTGCCTCAGAGCTGACCCTCCAGGCAGGTTCAGAGGCTGTAAGTCCCAGGAAGAGGTGGTCCCCTTTCTCCTACAGGGCAGCTGGCTGCCTCAAACCACTTGCTTTTGGGTTTGACAGAGCAACTCCTTACCCAAGCACTCAGACTGACAGGAAGAGAATTTGGCAAGCATTTCTTGACCATTCTTATTTTCTCGGTCTTTATCATCATGTACACTTGTTCAGGAAATTTGAGAAATGGCAAAATTTTAATGCAGTGTTAGGATTTTTACTTTTGATTCCTAAAACTCTCTGTCGTCCAATATAAAATTTCATTTAAAAATAAATTAACATCAAGAAGATGAAGTTCAACCAACTGTATATATATCCTTTGGCCATGTTGTCAGGAGAGTCCAAAGACATCATGCTGGGAAAGGTGGAGGGTTAGAGAAAGAGAGCCCTTCAGCCAGATGGACCGCCATAAGACTGGAACAGGAGTCCTGAGCACATCAGCGGTGATGAGGATGGCAGAGGACAAGACAGAGGGCAGATCTGCTGTTCATGGGCTTGCCATAAATTGGTAGGCGACTCTGTGCCTGAAGCAACATACATGGCAGTTGTGTTTGGCCATAAAAAGAAGTTTTTATTTACAACTAATTTAGGACCATATCTTGGCAAACATGCTTAGTAATTTACTCATTGAATCTTTTGTATAGTTCCGTTGCTGACTCAGATCCTTGAAGACTTTTACTAGGTGACTAGGTGTTCATTTAAAGCACGGTCAGGAAGAAGATAAAAAGACCATGAATAGTAACTTTTTTTGGTCTTTTCTCCCTCATGCTTGTTTAAATCTTCATATCTAGAAATTTTTTTTCTTCTTTTTGATTCTCCAGTAGATAGGATTTTTAACTCCTTTCTGGCTTCCTTGTCATGGATGATAGAGCCCTTAAAAACTACACATTAAGTGCATACATTTAAGAATTCCAGTGTTTGTTTTACTTGTTGACATTCTTAGTTAAAAATTCTCAAGAACGGTAGAGATTCTTAATCAGAAAGAAATTCTGTTTCTAGAGCAGAGAAATGAGAAAAAAACTATGGATAATAGTAAAGATACTTGTCCAAGAAACTTAATGTTACATAATGAGCCTTTTAGTGGAGATTTTTATTCCCACTCTTGTGTACCAGACAGTCCTCATTTCAGTGAGTGCTGGTGATGTTCCAACCTCTCATTTCACTTCAACACTACCAGCCTTTCCCTCATTTCCGACCACCTAGGGGGAGGGAGTGGTCGCCAACACTTCTCTATTGACCTGGCTAAATCTGTTTGAAGTTTCTAGTTTCATGAAACCCTAAACCTGGTATCATTGACATATTTTGTTCATAGCATGTGAGATTAGAATTAATAAGCCTGTTCTAGTGAGGAGATGTCCTCAGGTGCTGCATTTGCAGAGTAGAAGCTCTTTGCTGCCGTGAGCCTGTGGGCAGCACCATCCTGTTTGAGAACTTGCTGTCTTCCTGGTTGTAGAGAGGCTGAGGAAGAACAGCAAATCTGTCACGGAGGAAGTACACCAGGCTGCTCCCTGGGGAGGAAGTCGGTGAAACTTCTTACATACTTTGAACTTGTTGTCAGGAGGAATCAGTCTTCAGAAAAGAACATTATGCTTGGAAAAGATTAGTGAAGGAGAGGAAGATTCTCAGGGAGATAGATAGCCTGACAGTGATTGGAGTAGTGAACTTGAGCATGGGGAAAATTGTGAGTGTATTGCAGTGTTAGTGTCTCTTTTAGCAACAGCAACATCCCTTAACTTGCACAGACACATGAAAAAGTCTTTTCTTTTTTTTAAAAAATTTTATTATTTTTATGTGAGTGTACCGTCAAATCAGATCTGACTGGCACAGGAGGAGATTGTTCCTCCTTCCCCGGCAGAGCATCTGGTGGATTTGAACTGTGCGCCTCTGGGATTGTAGTTGCAGCTCCTTGCCACTAGGCCACCAGAGCTCCCCTGAAACAGTCTTGTTTCAGCTCTTACTCATTTTTCCTTTATTCTTGGTGTTTCAGTTTTGTTTGTATTTGGATATGTGTGTATCCTTAGCATCTCATGTTGATGACTTTCTTTTCATCTTCATTGGAGAATGAATGAATGAATGAATTTTGTATCTTTAACCTTTCTTGGCCATTTAGACATAGCCTCATTTCTATGGTTGCAGCTTGACCAGGCATTTAATTGCTGACTGAGTAGGTAGGTTGAATACATCTTGTTAATTAAGGACGAATCAAAGCTATTCCTTTAACTATGCGTTTCAGCATTTGGGATATCTTCAGCAGTATTCACTGTATAGCAGTAGGGAAGAAAAGATGCTGGAAAACATTGGATGCCCTCAATGTCCTGGTTTTAGATTTCCCATTCTTTCATTTACTTATGGTATGTTTTAAAAATGTTCTGTTTTTCTACAGCATGGAGTGACCCAATTTACAAAATAAAGATTTAACTGTTGTTTTAATTTACTAGGATACCCTTGAACTTTTCAGAGTGAGAGAGATTTTCCTTGACTCTTGAGAAATATTATATGGATCCACATACTTTAAGTTTTGAAGATTAGAAATGTACTTCAATATTTGTTTATTGAGTTGTTATTTACAGTTCTTTGTTTCTAGAATTGTAAGCTTTAAGAGGTACTTTCCTGTGGCTTGGTGCATGCTGTTGTTAGGTGCCCTGGAGTCAGCTCCAGCTCATAGTGAACACTCCCCACCCAGCGTGAAGCAATGCCTGACAGACACCCCCATCTCTGCTCTGCTCTCAGCACACCCTTTTCAATCACTGTGCTGGGCTGCCCCCTGGAGGAGCTTCTTCCTCCATTTGGAACTCAGTTCTCATTTTCTCAGGGTATATTTCAAGCAGTGAAATAGCAGGGTCATGTGGAATTTCTATGTTCAGCCTTCTGAAGAAGCAACAAACTGCCTTCCAGAGTGGTTGTACCATTTTACAATCCCACCAACAATGTATAAGAGTTCCTACCTCACCACATCCTCTCCAACATTTATTACTTGCTGTCCTGTTAAACTTGGCCTCTGTGCCGTACCCTATTTTTAAGGACAGAAGCCTCTATCGTCTTGTCTGCAGCACTCAGTAACAATAATAATTATCAGCCAGCTAGATTGACTTTCCCTATTTTATGTGGTTCTCTGGAGTACACAGCACATTTTATAAATCTTACCTTGTTGTTGTTGTTATGTGCCGTCGAGTCGTTTGCGACTCATAGCAACCTTATGCACAACAGCCTTAAACCCTGCTCTATCCTGTGCCAGTCTTACTGCGTCCGACACACCCATCCCAATTACCCCAGTCACCGAATCAATCCATCTCATAGAGGGTCTTCCCCTCCTGCACCGTCCCTCCACCCTCCCAAGCATGATGTCCCTCTCTAAGGACCTGTCCCTCCTGGCAACATGCCCAAAGTATGTCAGACGAAGCCCCAGAATCCTTGCCTCTAAGCAGTTGTTTGGTTTAATCCTCTCCAGGATGAATCTGTTTTCTTGGCAGTCCATGGTACATTCAATACTCTTCTCCAGCACCACAGCTCAAAGGCGTCAATTCTCCTTCTGTCCTCCCTAGTCATTGTCCAACTCTCTGATGCATAACAAGTAATTGCAAAGACCATGGCCTGTATAAAGTGCACCTTAGTCTCCAGAGAGACACCGTTGCTCTTGATTACTTTAGAGAGGTCCCTAACAGCAGACTTTCCCATCGCAATACGTTTTTTGATTTCCTGACTGCTGGTGCCAAGAGGTGTTGACATTGGAGCCGAGCAAACTGAAGCTGTGAACAATCTCAATCTCTTCGCCATCCATCCTGAGACTACCAATTGGTCCAGTGGTGAGAATCTTTGTCTTCTTGACATTGAGCCTCAGTCCATACTGAAGGCTGCAGTCCTTGACCCTCTGCACTAAGTGCATGAGGTCCTCCTCAGTTTCAGCAAACAGGGTTGTGTCATCTGCGTAACGCAGATTGTTAATAGATCTTCCACCAATCCTGATGCCACAATTCTCCTCATAGAGCCCAGCCTCTCGGATAATCTGCTCTGCATACAGGTTGAAAAGGTATGGAGACAGGACACATCCCTGGCATACACCCTTCCCAATTTTGAACCATGCAGTGTTACCCTCCTCTGTTCTGACTACTGCCTCTTGGTCCAAGTATAGGTTTCACATTAGCACAATTAAATGTTCTGGGATTCCCATTCTTCTCAAATCTTACCTTAGAAATATATAAATTTTATTTTTACAGTGAACAGAGTATCTGCCAGGCAAGAGCTGCTGTCATGGTTTATGATGATGCCAATAAGAAGTGGGTGCCAGCTGGTGGCTCAACTGGGTTCAGCAGAGTGCACATCTACCACCATACAGGCAACAACACGTTCCGAGTGGTGGGCAGGAAGATTCAGGACCATCAGGTAAGGCTCCATCAAAACTTCTATGCAAAAATAATCTAGATTAGGACTTGATGTATTCAGTAAAATATTTGTAGTTATTGTGTGCCATCGAGTTTGAACCCTCCCATATAACTAAGTTCACATGGGAAAAGGGTGCCCATCCTTTGCCACAAAGCAGCTGGTGGATTCAAACTGAATGCATTTGGGATTGCAGTGCAGGTTTTTACCATTAGGCCACCAGAGCTCCTTCAGTAAAACATAGTAAAACTAGTTTCTAGGAAAAACTGTTTATGTGATTTGATTTGCTTCTACCGTTTTTATAAAGCATAGATTTAGTACTAATGTACATGTACTCTTTTTTTCTATATAATGACTCTTCCCTAAGACCCTCTGGCCTTCCAGCTAGGTAGTTTTTCGAATTTCAAGTAATTGGGAACAAATGAAAGTGAAATCCTTACCACTTGTCAGTCCCTCTTGTCTAGAGCTGTGTAACAGAGTTGTCACAAGTGGGTGGCTTTCACGTATGGAGTTGTATTTTCTCCCACTTTAGGAGGCTGCATGTGTGGATTCAGGGCTCCAGCTCTGAGGGGGACTTTCTACCTGTCAGCTCTGGAGGAAGGGCTTGTCTCTGCCCAGCTCCTGACCTGCTCCTCAGCGGGCTTTGTGCGGTTTAGCATCTCTCTTTCTCATCTCTACTTCCTTAATCTGGTTAAAAAAATATTTTGTAATAGATTGTGTCAAAACACATCGTACACTAATCCTGTCTCATTAACATAACAAAGATATCCTATTCCCAAATGAGATTATAATTCATAGGCAGAGAGAGTATGATTTTTAGTGCACCTTCTGGAGCACACAGTTCAATTTGTAACACTACTTAAATAGCAGATTGTATATTTTAGTAATTCATTTCTTGCTTACATATGGGATGTGTGGATTTAAGAAGGTGCTAATTGTGTAAAGAATACCAGAGATTATTTTAAAAATTATGAATAACAGAAAAAGAATGGCTGTTAAGGTAGTAATGTTAGTGGACTAGTTAGGGACAGCATCAGGGAGAATAAGCTTTAATTTAGTAATCCTTTCTTCTGACTTGCCTACAAGATGATTGAATTTGATTCCTTTGACTGTAAGAAGTTAAGAGTGCGTTGTTGTTGTTATGTGCTTTCCAGTTGCTCGTGATTCATAGTGACCTTCTGCACAACAGCTCTGAACGCTGCTTTATCCTGAGCCAGTCGTGTCTTCTCTGACATACCTCCCCCATTACCCCAGTCACTGAGTCAATCCAGCTCATCCAGGGTCTTCCTCTCTTGCACTGTCCCTCCACCCTCCCAAGCAAGACATCCCTCTCCAAGGACTGGTCCCTCCTTGCAGCATGTCCAAAGTGTGTCAGATGAAGCTTCAGAATCCTTGCCTCCAAGTAGAAGCCTAGTTTTACCCTCTCTAGGACAAACGTTTTTGTTCTCACTATCAGTCCATGGTATGGCCAGTAATCTTCTTTAGCACCACAGCTCAAAGGCGTCAATTCTCCTTCTGTTGTCCTAAGTCATTGTCCAGCTTTCTGATGCATAACAAGTGATTATGAAGAGTGTGGCCTGGACCAGGTGCACCTTAGTCTCCAGACTGAGGAGGTAGAGTTGGAACGCTATGGGACTGCCTTTTTTTTTCTGGGACTCGTATTTTTCTACACTTATAAGTCATCTAAACTACTCTTTTCCTGTTTTCTAGTAGTGGGAAATGTTTGAAATGTCCTTTTCCAAGTTCTGCCTTTCACAAGTTTTAAAGACTATCTTAATAGCAGCAGGACTTTTTATGAAGAGTGAAAAAAGCTCTTTGTCATCATCTTGGAACCAGTTCATTGCTGAGCCCATCTTTCTGCCTTGGGGCCCGTACTGGGTTTG